ACGTGCCTGTGATTTCACCAGCACCCTTACGCAGTAATGTGTACTGCTTGGCGGCAGGAATATGTAAGATGCCAATACTTCCCTGGACGAACTCTTTCACAACAACCTTTACTGCTATTAAAGTTCAAAATGCGTGAACTTGAACTAAACTAAATTTATGTCATGTTTTTAGCATTGACGCACTATTCAACGTTAAAATATTAAGTAGTACCAGAAATCAGTACACCGACGCAAGCTCACAGCAACAATGCCATTTAATTTTCTTTTTATTACCTTTTACTGCGTGCTTACTAGTTATATAAGGGTAGGGTAACCATCCGTCCGGACTTATCTGGACATGTCCAACTTGTCGTTCTGATGTCAGAATTTGGCATCTGCTTGGAATTTTCGGCTTATGATGACAATTTTTAGAATAAATAAGTTGAAGAAGCGACAACATATTTAATTTCTAATACTCAGAAATTAAGTACTTTATTTTTAACATACTAAACATGAAGCACATCAATCCGAAATCTTCAAAACCGGAACGCAGTAATGATCACATTATTAGACAGAAACAGGTAAAATAAAATAAAGGCAGCTTTCTACAAACCTTCATTGCAGAAGTTGAGGTAAAGGAAGGGGGCAGTTAGAGAATCCAGGCCCTGCCAGTACACGTATTGAGGGTTGGTGAGCAGCCAGGCCTTGAGCAGACGCTTCAGTGCGCGGTGGCCGGCTGCGCCGCATAAAAGCCAGCAGTATTGGTGACACCGCGGAATGTCTACGTCAATCTATACAACCAATTTTTTAAATTATGTATGAGACGTCATTACCAACGGTTTGCACTGTGTGCGATGAGGATTAAAATTTCAAGTATACAGGGTGACGGGTTAAATGAAATAAGTATTTAAAGAGGCAAACGATTAGCAGATATCTAACCGAATATGTAAAAAATCGCCCCTAAAAGTAAGAAAAAAAATCGTGCTGTTATAATATTATGAAATAAACTTCGCGTATTTTTATTTAACGAGAAATTATTTCCTTATTACTATTAAATAAAAAATAAACAAAATATTAAAAAGATGTATGTAAATAAATAAGTTCAACTTAACTTTTAACCATTACAAATCAACATTTAGACAATAAATTCGAAAATAATATTGTTTCCATTGCAACCGTGTAACTATTTTAAGATTGCTAAATTTGACATAAGAGCAATATTACTTTAATGTTAAAGTCGCGTCATGGTACGAACTGAGTGAATGAATAGTCACAAAGCTGCCAATAAAACTTCATAGTGTTAACATTATAATAAGCTTACTTTAAGGGCGTCATGGTATGAAAAGTCAACGTAAGGTTAAGGTAATATTGTTTTAAGAGGTTGCTGGAGGCCCCCAGAACTACTTCCTTATCTGGAACAGCGTTTTTAGAGCGTACATAGTTAGTACCTATCGCTAGTTACTTAAGGGTATTGTACACCAGCGGTTGCTTCCTAATTGGAACGGTGTATGGGACTTCCGTTATGTGTTGTTTAGGGGGAGTAGTTTAATACTGTTAGTTACTGTTGTGTTGTAATACTGTTCCACCGACTTTATTAACCAATAAACTTGTACAGTACGGAAGAAAGTTTGGTTTCCTCCCTTTGTCACCTGTACTACGCTTTACTACAGGCAGTTTTTTTATATATCCGTTATGGGTATCAGCTACTAATTCTCCCCTTTAAATATTTATTTCGTTCAACCTGTCACCCTGTATATTCCACCTCTAAGGATGGCAAATAAGGGAGTCAATCCGATTTATTGAATTTCACCCACTTTCCTTTAAACAATTTCAATGAAACTTTGCACATAAATGTAATTCAAATGAAAAATAAAATGGAAATGACAGACAGATAGAGAACTCCTCAACAGTGTACAGCAGCTACCTTGTGTTTGGGCTCACATGATTAGTTTTGACGAGGACTTGAATATGCGACTCGGTTATCCTTGAGGAGACCGCGGTAACGAACACAGCGAAAGCGAATAAGCATACTTTGATATCGGTTTTTTTTTTAGAAATAAGTTGTAATGTGTTATCAGAAAATATTTAAACTAATTTAGCTCCGCAGCAGCACATTCTAAATTTGCTGCTTGTAGCTTTCGTCGTTCCGAGGGCAATTTAGACATATATGTCGGAATAGGACGTAAAAGGCAGACGTTGAGAGAAACTCTCTCGTCACTAATTGTGTCAGGAATTATTTGATCATTGGTCATTACGTTGTTCGTTATCAATTCGTTAAGCCCGCGGTGAATAATACCGTCAAAACAGTTAAATTTAGAGTCTATGGGTTTGTAAGTGCTACTTCCCCGCCAAACTGACATTTCCAACTCCATTCGGTGTTACCAGCTCTCAAATAACTAGTAATTGATTTAGGGAATAAACTAACTGCTTGATATTTCGATAATTTTTATGTTTATATTTTTAATAGCCCCGCGATAGGGAAACTCACACACACATAGACAACCACAAATTACACCCAAACTCACGAGAGAAATAAATGTATACCATAGAAATATACCTCCCAGCCCGGGAATCGAGCCCAGGACCTCTGCGTGGCAGTCCAGCACGGTAACCGTTCGGCCACAGAGGCAGTTAAATATAGTCTATATCAATTAACTTTACCAACCTGTCTATCAGTCGGGGTAGGGGTTTCCTTATCAATCCTCTCGTATTGCTCTTCGATGTCCCCTACTACGCCCAATAAGGCTGCCCACACGTCGCCGCGCACCAGTGGGGGGATGTCGATCTCGGCTTCAGCACGGATATACGGGCGCGTGTATGGGTAACCCTTAAAAATTGGCAATAACAAGAACGTTAGAAGAATTATTTGTAAAGTGGGTGATAGACGTACGAGTAAATACGCGTACTTGTGGCTTGACGACCTTTTTCACTCATGTGTCACCCTAAGTACGCGAATTTTAAAACTGCCGCGCAAGTCCATCAGCGATTAAACATGTTTAAAATCTTGCTCGTAGCCCGCCTTGACTCGCATGTCTGTCAGCGTCCCGAGTCACGAGCCGCCATTTTGTTTCAAATGAAATAGCTTCTCTCATGCAGGTATCTTGTTTAGCTATTATAGGTGTAACTAAGTGCAAGAGTTCTTCGTACAACAACTCGGGCATTCTTGAATAATTACGAATGTCTTCCTTTTCTTCACGTAACTCTGTTACTAAATTTACATGTGATAAATGCTCTCTTTTCATAAGCCAGTTCTTCACCCACACTCGCCGATTTTGTCTTCTTTTTTTAGTTTTCAAAATGTGATATGATATTATTCCCAAATAACACAAGACGTGTTATTTGTGGACGTGGACGACTCCGACGCCGACGTCGAGTTGAGTAAGAACGCAAACTTTAAAACCGCGATTTTTAACCTCGTACGTCTATCACCCAGTTTAGGCATGAAAACGTGCATATTAACGTAAACGTACTAAGTTGTCATAATGACAGTTGAATCGAATTTTGTAAGTTCTCACTTCTCACTGGTGGCGTTACGACAAAAAAAAAACCGTTTATACCCCATACAGAGATCCGCAACAAGCAAATAGAGAAATTCGAAAGATCTGTCATTTTGGAAGACGGAGTAAAATTACATTTGCAGGGTTGGCAGTTTTAATACAATTTTGAATTGTCATGTAGTTGTTGTCGACAGTTTTATCGATAGAATGTGAAAGAAGGTAACATTTTGCTAAAAATGTCTCAATTGTGAATGTTCCGACATTCTAATGATGTTCTTATTTTGACAGTTAGCCTACTAGTATCGAATGAAATTTGTAATCTCATACGTTTTAATTAAATTATTTGAAATTAAATTATGATTATTTGAATTAAAGTGAAAACCTTTAAAATTCGTCTCCTCTTTGTATTTTTTATAATATCAAGTGACAGGACGGACACGTCATGCGCCTGATGGTAAGCTACACGCCTGTCCATAACAGTTGCAGTGCCACTCAGAGCTTTAAATCGTAAAGATCTGAGGGGCACTGCCACTGCGCCCGCCATCCGGAGACATAAGTTGACAAGTCTCATGTGCCTGTAATTTCACCAGCACCCTTCAAAACCGGAACACAGTAAAGCTGACATTACTGTTTGGCGGCAGAAATACAATACAATACAAAATGCTTTATTTCTCTCAAAAAGGTTTACAAAATGCAGATTTGTTACATTTCATGTTAAATATGAAGCACCTTAGTGACAGCTGGAGTCTGTACTAGGTTGGGGACCTGTGTTACAGATCACCAGGCTCACACCCTTTTGACAAGTTTATCAGAAAAGTAACACTAATAAAATTTAACAAAAATAATGAAAATTAAAGAGTAAATTAAAATTGATAGCTAATTAGAAAATAAAACAAATAGAAAAAATAGAAAAATCTCTGTGCGTGTGTGTTTGAAATAGGTAAAGAACTTACAAAAATTGACAAATTAAACGAACCTGTGCCCAGTAGTTGGAAGAATGGGCCGACGAACGATTCAAATGAAACAAGTTCAGCTATTTATTGCATAAGACTGCATAATATATAGAATATTTGTCGACTGCAATCATTAGCAGCTTGCGAGCGGGCAACTTTCACGCAATGAACTGTCATTTTACTCCATCTTTCAAAAAGACAGACTTGACAGGCTGCCGTCTATTTGAGGCAATATTCGGTGGTTCCATTACAATCGAGTGTAAAGGATTTTGCTTTGTAAAGACAAATTTTTGTAGGTATCTTCTAATAATAATAACAACGTTTATTGCAAAACATGTTACATAATGGTTCTTATAGTAGTTTACAGTATCAAACATGTACCCTGCAAGGGCGTAGCCAGTCAACCGTGACCATGGGACCTGTAAAGGGCCCGAAACGTCGGTTTGTTTGAAAAAACAAATATACGCGATTTAAATCCGGAAAAATAGTTTCATTCCTATGTGTAACAATCGCGAAAACCTAAGGGGCGTAGCAATGTCAATTTTTTAAATACACATTTTGATTACCATTAATTAAAATATCATTATAATGATAATTAAATCTAAACAAATATTTTCTGAAAAGTCAATGAATTAATTGGAAAATGAATGTCAAATTGAAGTCTAAAGTATTTAAAAAAAAAATTAATCGTCAAATTATTCTAGAATTATATAATAATAGTCATAACATTTGTCATTATATTAAATTACATAATTATGTCATATTTTTTATAAATATAGTTAACATATCAAAATTCCTTTTTTATGACGTTATGAACAATTTTCCTTGTCATTAAAAAAATCTTGTAATGAATACTTAGTAGCATTTTTGAGACAGATGTTTACTAAGTTGATTTTTAAATATTTTTACGCTATTTATCAGTTTTAAAAAGTGAGGGAGTGCGTTATAAGTTTTAATTGACATCGAATATGGCCCCAAGTTGACCATTTGTAATTTTGAAACTGTTGTTGCTAGTCTGCATTTGGGTCTTAATTTTACTGAACGACAATGTAGAGGATATGCATTCAAATTATTCTTGACAATAAGACACATTTGTAAAATATATATACATGGTAAAGTCAAGATATTATATTTAATGAAATACGATTGACAGCTTGTAAACGAGTCTATGTTAGCGAGTATGCGGATACATTTCTTCTGTAACACAAAAACTTTTTTAGCGTCAGTGTTGTTGCCCCACAATGCAACGCCATAGCTAAGCCAGGCATAAGCATACGCGTAGTAAGCGCTAGTTACTGTCCTGTTCTTTCTTCTTTTCTTTTGTAAAAAGAATACATCCCACTACTCACCACTACTGTATCCCACAGTAACTTTGACCGAGGTTAATTCTACAAATATGGAGCGAAAACTTTGGTATATGCCGTACTACGACGGACGACTGACGGACGAGTCGGATGCTTGGGGTGCTGTGAGTCGCTCTTACACTTGTAATTTGTACTTACTTTACTTGACTCACTACTACAGGAGCGTCACTCAGGATTACCCATTGTTTTGAAATATGCCTAAAGTTCAGCGCTCCCCTCCTACATCTCGGACTTAGCAGGCACTCCGGTTCCTGCGGCACGATACTGTGCGCACTAAACGTGCTCGAGTGGAAGGCTAACCAAGCCGATGTTGCGTCATCCAACTCGATGATTGCATTTCAGCAAGAATTGAGGTCAATGCTGGATAACTGGAAGTCGGAACAGGATGCGGTTTTGTCTAGGCTCGTGTCGGATATCTCGGACCTAAAGTCTCAATGGCGCCAAATCCAAAAAAGTAACATTGATATTGAGAAAGCGATGGACTTCATGAGCCGGGCTTATGAAAAAATTAAAAATAAAGCTAGAGCTCGAAACGGGAAAACAACAAAACCAAGGTCGTATCTATAGACTGGAACGACACTTATTGGAGATTCAAGTGAAATCACGTTCCTCTGCTATTGAAATTCGTATTTACGAAGACTTAATTACGATGGTCTCACAAATCGGAAAATCTGTTGGTGTTAATGTACAAAATTCTGATTTTCGGGACATTTGTCGCCTGCCTGGTAAACTTGGTACCGCGAAGAGTATTCTTGCAGCGTTCACGTCAGTCGTGCTAAAATGTCGCTTTTATCAAATGCACGCATGTTCAACAAGAAATACGAACGTCGTGAAGACAAACTAAATACACAAATAATCGGAATTCCAGGAGAGCGGAAACCGATCTACGTGGACGAACATCTTTCAACAAGCTCAAGGAGAGTTTTTTACCAAGCGCGTGAATTTGCCAAGCGATATGAGTACAAATTTTGTTTGACTTCGCACGGCAAGATACTGCTGCGTAAGAATCAAGAGACCAAAGAAGTTTACACAATTAAATCCGAGGAATGTCTTCTAAAAGTGCAACAAAAAAAATGACTATTTCGTAACACTAATATTTTGTGTAACGTAATTAATATTCACCTATATAATTTTGTTAATCGCCTTCTTCCATGCATGCTCCTGTACGCAATATATTCCAAGTTTTATTTAAATTCACGAAGCCGATCAGGGGTTTCAGTATTGTTCGCTCATGCATATGATTTTAAAATCTCATCTGCAGCCCACTACGGCCGCAGACTTGTGCCGGACTATTGGTTTGACTTCGGCTTATATAATCTAACTTTAGTTCCTTTTATTTAATCATAGTAGATTTTTAATGGTGCTTCATAAATAGTTAAAGGGCTAATTTAAACATATATAATGATTAAATTTTTATTGAATTGATATTCAATTATTTTTTGTGAAATTACTCCACTAGTATGTTATAATTATTAATACAAAGATCGAACACTCAGAAAAAACATTCAGAAAAACTCGCCAGGACTGGTAGCTGTAAAGGTACTAACTGGGTGATAAATCTGTAATAGATTTCTCATAGATGGCGTTACGACTAAAAAGTCGTTGAAAAACTAAGTACAAAGACGACGCAAGCACATAGAAAAATTCGTGAGGTCCGTTGGTTCGTTCCGTGGCTTAGTTGGTATGGTGTCTGGCACGGTATGCAAGAAGACGTTGGTTCGAATCCGACCGGATCGAAGGAATTTTTTCTGAGTGTTTTTTCTGAGTGTTCGATCTTTGTATTAATAATTATAACACATATAAAGAATTAAACAATATTACGGTCGCAAATTCTGTTTGTTGCCCACCCGACAGCTGTGTAAATTTCGTAGAAGGTCTAGGTGAGAGTTTGAAAATCGTACATATTAATATTAGAAGTATTAATAAGTGTTTTTGGCAACTTCTCGCAGTATTATCAACTACCAAACTGGATTTTCATGTTCTGGTCTTTACCGAGTGCTGGCTTAGAAATTCTGGTATTCTGCCCTTACTGGATGATTTCACGTCGAATGCTACACTCAACAACCCCTTTTCAAAATGATGGAGTGATAATTTATATAAGAAATGGGTTAAACTGTACTGTATATGAACCTGTGTTTTTGGATGCTAATTGCCTAGTGTGTAGTTGATGACACAGCTGTAGTATGTGTCTACCGCTCGCCATCATATGGAGATCTAAAAAATTTTTATAGTAACTTAAGTATTTTAATATCCACTCTAGGTTCTTTTAAAAATGTTACTATTATTGGAGATTTAAACATTGACATTAAACCAAATAACAGCGACCGATACTTTGATGGCGTCCTTGGGTTTCCTTCCTTGACCTCTAGCCTACTAGAGTTGGAAATTGTCTGGATCATGTTTTCTTACGAACTAATCAGCCAGCTCTCGTCTTGGTGTTGGCTACTTGTATTACAGATCATATGCCAACCGTCCTTTGTTTGAGTAAAAAACTTGCCTTTGACTCTTATGCTGGTAGAACTTCAGCGTATCAACTACTCTACCACTCAGGAAATACTTGGTGGGGTGGACTTTTCTTAGATCTTCCATGAAACGGACGCTAACTTAGAAGTAAATAAATTTATATATGTAATCTAAAATATAGTTTTCAGTAATTCGCAAATAATAACAACCACGAGATCAAAGCGTATTTTAAAACCGTTAGCCTTTTTTTAAATTTTATTATTGTCGTAGTTTTCATAATTACATACCATAGCAATTGTCTTTTTTTATACTGTTGATTTTTACCTCTTGGTTGTACTGTATTTACCTAGTGATAACCAGTGTGTGGAGGAACACTTAGGGTCGTATTCTAGAACTCTACTCAATGCTCAAGTCAGGATTTGAGCAGACTTGAGTATGATTTCAAGCACTGGAAATACGACCCTAATGGCAAGGACTTGAGTGTGATTTTCAGTGCTCACTGTAATACTCAAGTCATGACTTGAGCAATGAGTAGAGTTCTGGAATACGACCCTTAATCCCAGAATATAAGCTTTTGCTTAGTTTAGGATTTGGTAGTTTAATCATTTTATATAAGCAGCAATGTACATATGTACAATCAGTGAAATAAGTTTTTTTTTTATGTAACACACCCATTGTTTTTAATTTTGCTGTGTGTGTATATCAATGAAATAAATATTATTATTATTACTACAATTTAAAAACTTACATGTAATAATCTCTGGAACCACAGCAATCTATAAAACTGGTACTCAGTGTCCCTCTCCCTGATAATCTTTGGCAAGGACACAGCATCATATTCTTTTCTTCCCTCGTGCATAAGCGGATAGTAATCATGAGGTGACACGTGATTTAAACGTATTTTGAGAAGGTTCAGACTGTACTTTGCAATGCGCCTGTCGTACAGTGCTCCAGTTTTGCCACCTATAGTACAACCGTCTAGAAGAATTGCTCTGAAAAGTCAAGCAGATCTTTAAAATGGCTATCTTAGCCTAATATAAGTCCCACTGCTGGCCATGGGTCTCCGTGTACTAGTTTACACTTATTAAAGGGACGAAGTGATTAGCTTAATTTTAAGTAGTTTAAAGATAATATTCGCACCCCTCATGGAAGAATGGCATAAGTGGAGTTACGTCAAAAATGTCACAAATGTTACGTGAAAAATATAACCCACATCCTCTATCGACAATATTAGTCGAACAATTGGTGAGGATGTGGATTATACTTTTCTGTATCTAATGGAGCAATAAACATTTCTGACGTAACTCCACTTGAGGGGTGCGTATAGCTATAAAACAATTAAATTCGGTGTATCATGCTTTGATAGAATCAAAACTTCGTTATAGCATTGCGCTATGGGTAAAGTGTTTCCAATATAGAGTGTGCTTTTATATGCAAAAAAGCGCCATTCGCACTATGGTACGGATTCCTCCATGGAAGTCATGCCAACATTTTAAAGATTTCATGGTATTGCTGCCAGGACTTTTAAAGCGGAGACGGAACTTTGAGACTCTTCATTTGAACATCAAATTCGAAAAAAAGGACCAAGAATTCAGAAATGTAATTGAGGCTAAATTAAATATTGTGACACACTGCCTCCAATATCAGGCCATGACATTATTTCATAAATTTAAGATTTTTACTGACATAAAACTATTAAAAAAAAGACAGTTTTATTATTACATAAATGCTGTTACTCTGTAGAATTTTAAATTTTATAAATTTTTTCATATTTTTGATTTTTATTTCTTAATTCATTGTTTTAAATTGTTCACTATGACTCATAATATATTTTTTATACTTCTTGTCCTGACATTTTATTATTGTTAATTAATTATTTTATTTAAATTTCTAATAATTCATTTGACCCCGTATTTTAATTAATTTGAATGATTCTTAATTTAAAATCCATGTCATTCAAACACAATTATGTACAGTCATGTTCATGAGATACCTGACCCCTTAACATGCCCAAACCGACCCTTTTGATTCTGAGAGCTATCTTACGCATTGAACAAAGAAAAAATTAAAGTACCTAATTTCAACTTTATTGTGTAAGCAATACAGATGATGAACATATCTATAAAACCAATACTAAATTTAGTCGTTTAACTTCCAAGTAAATTGGTCGAGCGGCTTGTTGTATCCACTGCCAATTACAATACCCGTGGTTCGTTAACCTTACATTTTTAACAGCATTGTTTCACTTTTTAATGTTAACGTTGACAACTTACAATATGTGCTCACTAGAAATTGCTTAAGGTGGGTGGGTAAGTATTATTAATAAAGCGTAGGGTGGGTATGAATAGATTAACATATCACGAAATCGCTCTGCAGTTTGCATACGATCATGTCTTCTGTGTTTAAGCGTTGTTCCACGTTTCGTTCCTATTTGTCTATTCAGTTTTAATTATTTCCAAGGTTTTAGTGACTTTCAAAGTTTTCTTTCTTGTTTTAATATGCCGCACTTAACGGAATTATTAAAATTAGCAATTATTGTTCTGTATGAACAAGACTTAGACATTCCTTACACCTATTCAGACGTCAAAAACAAAAAAAATACAATATTATATAGTCATAGCTAAATAATATTTTATTTTTAATACGGCGTTATCACGACGGCCTTACTAAAGCTGGTTGAAATTTGTGTTCTGTATTTAAGTAAGTACCATACGTTAAAGATCAACATGTCTAAAAAATTTTCTTAAAATGTCATTCACTAATTACACGACCAGGAAGTCATTCCAGAATAAATTTTACAACTCACAGGTTAAAGATTAAATTTGTTTAATAGTTTTCTCCACATTTTTGTGATCAGAACCAAAAGGTCGACAAAGTCGGCTTGGGCTGTCGGGTATCTTGTGTATATGACTGTACATTGTTAATGAATAAATAATAGATTCATTCATATATTTTCCACGCTACTAAACGTTTTCAAAATCTATGTAACTGAGACATGAAATCTAACATGCCAACGCGGACAGGGTTTGAGCGGTGAAAGCCCAGAGGCAGAATGTCTGATATTTACAAGCTATCAAAAAGCATATTAAACCTACTGTCACTCACATAGGCATAGACAATATAGGAGGGCTGTTCTTAACCAAATAATTCTTCTTCAATTCAGCTTGTATGTCCCCTCCAGCCAGTTGCCACCAATGGTACAGATATTGCAATTTGCATCCCAATAGGCCTCGGGCTCTTTTTACTTCAACCAATTGCTTGCTGTCCATTTTAGACAGGTCTGCAACTAATTCTTCAAATGTTGCTCTTTCACTTGGATATATTTTAAGACATTTCTCAATTAGGCTTCTTAGATTTTCTGGCACTTGCTGAAAATGAGATTACATGTAAGGGCAGACTACAGACAGTCTATAGATTCTGTCAAATGCCCCTCCACCTTGCGGGCAGGTGGATAAATGAGGTCACAAGCAATTCCGCAATTATGTTTTATATGACTGTTGAGATTTAACCTACTATCACCCAGGACAGCAGTATATCAAACTACACGTTGACGGATCTTGCTCCGTTGTACTGGAGGCTATATTCGGACAAAAATGCTTGAGGTGCTGTTGACTGTACATTTAAATGTACTAGATATAAATTCATGACATGCGTCCGAAACAATTAGGCCGCCGCATTACGTCGTGACGACAGATAGTCGTGAAGTTTAAAGTGTCGTGGCTTGTATATTTAAATGAAGTTGTTCACACATAGAACAACACTATTAGCTCATATTCATATTCTTTATTTGCAAGTTATATGGTTATATAACAGGTGTTCATATGCTAATGGTACTTGACATGTAACACCCTGTGGGGGCACTGCAACATTCTAATGGCACTATGTCCTTACTTTAGTAAAACATATACATTATTAAAATAAAATTAAAAACAATTCAATTAGAAAACTCTGCATTATTTAAATAAAATTAAGAATGATTAATAACAAAAAAACCTGAACAGAATTTTAGGCAATATCAACAATAAATATTAGTAATTCCTTTTACGTTTAGGCCTCGTTCTGTCCATTTGACATACTTTACAAATTATAAACTTGGTAATTCATTTTTAAGTACTATTTTCTAAAAAGTATTATTTTAGTGAATAAAAAGCTTTGCTCTGTAGATAGCTCTTTAGACGGGCTACAAAGGCCTTATGTGTATCTTGTGTTTTTATATTTATTGGGATCGCATTATATATTTTAATTAGCGTACAGTGGGGCCCTGAATAGTATATACCTAGAGTACCGAAAGGACGCTTCAACATGTGTAGACCTCTAATGTTGTAGTTTTGATCAACACTATTAGAAATAATAGACGCATGATGCGAATGAAGCTCCATACTTGATATTGTCTTTTAATATGGTTGAGTGTTACTTAATTGACAGTAATTGTTTCGGACCTCGATGTCAGACGGAGAACGAGTAGACTCCCAGGCGCAAGCAAGAACCCAAACCTTCAGTTTTGTACGAAAAACGTATTTTCTATGGTCATTTTGAATGTACAGCGCTAAATTCGAATGCGATATTTTCATTACAATGTACACCAAGCGTTTACGTGATCATAGGAATAATATTGTCTGGGGCTGAATTACTACAATAATCATGAGGTTAAGTTACAAGAAGACGGCTGGTATAGGAGGGCTGCCTGTTGTACATTAGTTTATGTATCCAAAAGAATGCTTCATACTTATAAAACTGCCAGATTAAGGCAAGTCACTGCAAAAAAAACTATTTTGTTAGATCAAACGGTTTGGGTATATGCTATTATATAACAGTCTTACAAAATATATACGATACACGTAAGGATGTACTTCACCCGATCATATAAAATCCTGAAAACAGGTTAAATTAAAAATCTAAAACGAATTATTTAAGAATAAAATATCTAACTTTGCACATAATTTCTAGAAAGCATTTCGGAGAACTTGCTAAATTTTGGTTTTCAACTGAAGCCTTGTAATAATGAAATTTATATTTATCCCAACACTTAAAAAAAAATTGCCCGGCGGTTTAAAGACGCGCCGCGCCGCCCGCTGCCCCGTCAGTCGCCACAGGGCGCTTGTCGACGTCGGATCTATGTTAAAGTTTATCTGCCTGTTCTTATTTTATTCATATCAATTTTCAACGCGCGAGTTGCGGGGCGCGAGTTGCGGGACGCGAGGGCGGTCCCCCACACCTCGCCTCCTAAAATGTAAGCTCGCGTTGAAATACCTCGCCTTGACCCTTGATGAAATATTTCAGAAACCTGAGGCATAAACAACAACATACCGTCTGACACTATGAGATTTGCAGTTTAAGCGAGGTACAGGTGGTGATTTCCACCGGTAAATGTGAAGTAACCATAACTTAAACCTACCTTGTAAGTATCAAAAGAATCATGTTCTCTAGCAATTCTCTCGGCAGAGTTCCCAGCATGGACCAGAGTGAGTATCCTCCTTAGTATAGGTCCTGGTTTCAGATTTTGCCATAGTTTACCAATGCATAGTTCCAGTAGAATAATGCCAAATGCCCAAACATCTGCGGCCGGGCCCCCACCACCTAAAATCGTCTCTGGACTTAGGTATCTAGGAAGACTGGAAATAAGATTTTTTTTTTACACCGGTTGCATTCAGTAACAGTACTAAAAAGACAATAGTAACAATGTAATAACAATTCTGATCAAATTTAAAAAATAAAAGTTAATGGATGTTTTTCTACCTATTTAAATTCATTACAAAAACTTAATTTATTCAATACAAAAACCACGAAAAAAATGTCCCAAGTCAACCTATTGAAACGTAGTGACATGTAAAGGAATATGAAAAAGCTAAAACGTTGAATTTAAATTGTAATGTCATCGCAGTACTGTCTAATTTTGCTTGCTTCGCTGTCAGTCGAACAAACGAAGACTAAAGCGTGAATGACGCTCTGTATACGATTTTAACGCCCTATAAGTTCGGACACTTTTTAGCGCGGATCCGACGTCCATATAATTGTAAGTCAATGAGTTTGATGGAATAAAATATCAATGTTAAGAAATCAATCAATTAGGTGGCCACAGCACAGATTACTTAATAACCCACGGTGACAAATACTATTATTCACTAGAATTATAAAATTAACTTAGGAGACATATTTTTATTGTGTTCTTAGGTTTTCGCGGTTGTTAGGCTAAGAACTCGCGGAGCAGTTTTATGTTTAGTGCATGGTGAGGACCCTGATTGCAGTGTACACTGTAGAAACTGGCTTTGCACAGAACCGATTTTCATCCAGAGTCTACCTGCCAGGAACTACGGCCTCACTGTGGTGCATCAAATTATTTAATATTGCAAGTTAAGCGGTCATGATTAAGTTAAATTTTATTGTACAGAAACCCGATTCATTATTACATTTAGAAAACTTACCCAAGTGGAAATGAAACTTCATTTCCCCCACCAGTCATAAAAAACATTCCATAATTGAAAAGTTTTACTCGACCGCTACTATCCAGCAGGATATTATCATCTGACAGCATTCTATGCGTGATATTATGTCCATGAAGGAACACCAGAGCGTTGGCCAGTTGTCGGGCTATGTTTACTATTTCTTCACATGACAATTTTGATTTCCACTCATTTAGGGATTTTCCTATTACCTCAGCTACTACAATTATTCTCTCTAAAAATAAACAAATTATATAAGTACTATATCATATTATAGATTAAACACTATATTACATTACAATTTAGATTATATTGTAAAAGAAAATATATTATGTGGGCTGGGCAAATGGTGCAAAATAGTCACAAATTGGTACCAACAATTGTACCCGTCAGCATCAAAGATAGAGCAAGTGCTGAAGCTGACTGCACATCCCTATTGGAGAAGAGTAGCTCTTGATAGAGCTCTCTGGAAAGAGTAGGCATACTGAATTTTAAAGAGCTAGTAAATAAATACGCACATCTAGAAAGACAATGACATTAGTGCAAAAATTTCATTTTTGAGAAATACACTTTTTAAATATTTTTTTAAATTTTTTACTGATATTTTTTTCGATTGGTAATAATTATAGCCTTTTTTGGAAAAAATCATTAATAAAGGTATAAGGCTTTATTTGTGAAAAAGTTTCGTAATTCTAAATACATATTTTGTTAGCTGTTTAGTTATTATTTCGCCCTATAGTTGCGTCGTTGTTCTTATTGAAAAGTTTATTAACTTTGAGAATGCCAGAAGAACATTGACGTAAAGTCAGAACATTAGCCTTAAAATAAAATTAATTCTTAGATTGGTGGTTAATTATTACTTCAATCAATTCACCAATATACTTTGGAACATTTCAGTTTCTATTACTAGCAGCAACCATAAAGTATATATTTATTAAGACTTATGTTGATTTAAGGGTAGTACATACTTTCACCTAACAATGGTAATAATATAACTAAAATTTATATTGCAATAGTAATGTTTTATTACAAAACTTCAAAAATTAATAACAATCAAATATTTTTATGATGTCTTCCTTTCCTGGTGAAATTAAATAGGATAAAAATGCTTAAAGAACAAAATATAAGTCTTCTCAAAATATAGTTACAAAATAATGACCAAAACACAGTTAGGTCAATGTTGTTCTCTTAAATAATAATAATAATGCACACACTCAACATAGCCCCGCACTAGAATTTAGAAAAGTTCATTTTCCAAATTGGTCTCACCAGGAGTCGTACCAAGGACCTCCTCATCTGTCACCCACAGTACAAACCGTTAGGCCACTGAGGGCGTCTACTAATTGTTAATCTGTATAGGAGCTGATGACTACAATGATAAGTTATGATTGCTGCATTAGAGGTGTGCACGAAAGCTGACACAAAGAAGAAATATTTTCAGAATTATAGAGACTGAAGCTATTCAACAAATATAATAGTGATAGATATTTGCATAATTTAAATTGCAAGGTAAAGAATATGAGCAGTTGTAAAAGTTGCTTATAGGTAAACAACAGAAGGGATAACACGATAGTGAGCAAATTGCGCGAAAAAGGAGAATAAAGCGCGACAAACGGTTATTCTCGCAAACAGAATAGGGAAGGACTTTAGGACTTTCTTTTGCTTTAATTTTCACGATTTTCAAAAATTATTTTCTCGAAAACCTTTTGCTGCAGTATACCAGAATAACAGTTTGTCGCGATTTACGTCGCTCTTCTGCAAGTCGTGCTAGCCCTTCAGGTTTTAAAGAGACGTTGTTTCTTACCATGTTTGCCTCTGATGACGTCCAGGTAAGTGCATAAGTTGGGATGCTCCAGCGTCAGCAGTTGCTGAGCCCGGCCAAGGATGGTGATTGAACTCGGAGTGAGAGGCAAACCATTACTTCCACACGTTTCCCCCGGATGATTCTTAGCAAAATAAGTGCAGGCGGCAAATTTATAATCTTCCTCGTTCTCTTCACACATATTTATGATTTATGGCATTCAAACCTACAAAAGTCGATTAACCGTAAAATAAACTAAACACAAAATCCCAAATACAAATAC